TTGGTATACCTAATATATGCAAATACTTCATAAAAGCCTGTATGTGCATAAACATTCGCAGTGTATTAATATTTGATGTTCAGTTTATTATTGTTACTATTTTTATTATCGTTACAATTTATGTATCGTAATTCTTTTGTGTCCTTGACAGAAGTGATTTATGACCGAATCCAATGAATTTCATGGACCTATTTTGAGCGATACATATTTACTTGTTTAACACTAGAACTATTGAAGGAATAGTTTGTTGAAAATATGCAAATCGATAAATGAACAAACTTCTTCACTTAGGTGTTGCAATAACAGTTGCGAAGAATCCCAATGAATATACTACTGTGATGTTTTAATAATTTTTATAAGAGATCACGAATCAGTCATTTAGACTGCTTTGGTAGTTTCAATTGTTAATGCTCTTCCTCTTCCTCGAGATTGTAACACGTTGCGCTCTGTTTCGGTTATGCAACAAGGGTGCAGTTATTGATTAGCTAACGTCCAAGAACTTTTTGCCAAGACTAGCGTATTGATCCTGGCAGAGTCTCGCAGACGCATTTTACACAGTCTGTGTATGGTTCTAAGCAGTGCTTAGCGATCGAATATCTAGTTACCTGCACATGAACTCTAAAACATTTGTAATATTTATTTTCGGTGAGTCTGCCTCTCGTAAAAACTCCAGATTGTTACAGGTTACAGGAAAAAGTTTTCGATCGTTTTTGTTTTGGTTTCTTAATGGAAGTAGTCTGATTCATTTAGTGTAATTTTAAACCATTATTTTCCCATAATTCACGTATTTTGTTGCGGATAAAATATAGAAAAACCACTAAACATGAGAAAGTTCTTTTTTTCCAATAAGTTGAAATTTTTTAAATCGAACTTACACGATACTGTCTGGTATAGAAAAATAGGATTTATTTAAACATTGAGAAAATTGTTTAGGACCGTATTGAATTGTACGAAAGAAATCAGTAGACACTATTATGGTGTACTTAACAATAAGAAAGACACTTTTATTATAACAATATATAAGACATTTTTAAGACCAAAGTGAGTTTTCTTGATTTCCTCAAACTGTCGATGTTTTTTTTTTTCGTTGTATTTATGTCTGCTTTAAAGAAGGGTGAGTAACTTTAGGTGTTTGTATAGTGCCCATAGAGAAGAGTAAGAAATGCTGAATCGATGTTGTTTAAAAAATCCGTAATTTTCTGTTCAGAAGAATTTAGCAGTGACAAAGAAAGCAATCGTTGCCAGCTTTAATATACAGGGTGGTCCACGCAATTGTTTCAGGTCATAATTCCGTTGTTAATGCATTTATGAGAAAATGGCAAAGGAGAAAGATAAATGGCTCGAAGAACACTACATCTGTAGGTCCTTAGATTTTTTTTAAGTGCAACAGTGCTTGTGCAATTAACAATTGCATCATTTTTTTAAATGGAAATGCATATTGTTTGTTGCACAGATCTATTCCTCTGTTCATTCTACGTAAAAGGAGAAAAAAGTTAATTTCTTAAAAATAAAAGAAATTTGAGATTTATTAAAGTTAAGAGTATATTATGTGCAAATACCTATAATTAAAATCTATCATGTATAAGCTTCAAGTTGCTGTTTTTTTCCTGCAAAAATATTTTTCACATTCTCGAGCGCTAATTTCCTTAATTGTATCCGACCCTTCAATTAACGTTGCAGGATTATTAGTTAAATAGAATGTAAAAATTAAACAGCTTAATTCTAATACAATTTTAGTTAATACTTTAACGTAACGAGGATAGTATTGTATTTTTGGTATTTAGTTGCGTTGCGTATTGCATTTCGGCCCAAGTATTTATTTTTTATAATATAAGTTTTTATCAACTGACGAATGTTTTTTTTTTTTACATATTTCAATAATTTCTTGATGGGAGGGGGGGGGGGCAACCCTGGCCCCTACCTAGTACATCAATGCACGTATCCCAGGTTAGGAACCGCTGCTCCAGTTGGTAGACAATCAATGGATCTCCGACATTCTAGAAAGGTTCCGATCGAAGTGTCGTCTTTGTATGAATAATTTGTATTTATATTTTTTGCCTCAACACTTTATATGACATAGAAATGGTAGAAGACTGCATAAATAACCGATATCAGCAAGATTGCATGTAGAGAAACAATAGCATTAGTATGTAAATATGTATGTTTATCGAACAATATTTTCTGAAGTGTTCATTTTCCTGGATATTTCCTATCAACATGAAATATCTCTCCATATGTATATGTATGTCCACGCAGATATGTATCTAGTTATCAGTGACGACAATGTTCAGTTATATTACACTTGTAAGTAATTTTGTTTCTTTGAGGCATGGGAACATTAGACGTATTTTTTATGGTTGGAAAAGTTCTTTGTTAAGTTGTGACTTATGTAGTTTTTTTGTCGAATATTTACTGTAGTGTATAAGTGTTTGACAGTTATTTGTACGTTACGTTTGTCACAAATTGGAGGACTACTTTTCGGGAGTAAATGGAAATGGGTTACTTTTGTGAATTAACCTTTGATTTAAAAAATTGCAATTTGTTCTTCTCTTGTTAGGTTAGGTTTTCATTTGTAGTAAAAAGTCGTGTAAAATATGCATGTGTCTGATCGGCTTACTTGAGCGACTAATGGAGAGGTGTATGCATATTTGATCACTCGACTGGAAAATCAGTTTTATTCATCGGTAGATTAAGACCTTTATGATAATCGATCCAACAAGTTCACGTTAACACATGTTACGATCAGTTCTGATGGCATAGAACAATCATTTGTGTTCCTTTCGAAGAAAATGTCGCGTTTAAATGATACTGTAGATTGTAAAAACAAATCTGCATATTAGGTTGTGGCATAATAAATGTCGTTTTTGAATTACAGAGTTCGAACGATTATGACTTATTTTGAAATAAATATTTATAATCGACATAAAATCCATCTGAATCAACACATTCTTGCTAACGAGTTACATGTTTCCTGATTCTATGTTTAACAATTTTATGGTGGTTGAAATGAAACATTGGAAAACGACATTTATTAGGTATCAATCTAATAGTTTATAGAAGTGTTTCCACAGCAATGAAATATCCATAGTTAAATCTCTTTAAAGTTTAAATCTCTGTTAGTAAATTAATTGTACTTGGTAACCAAAATGATTCACAAATATTCTTCCATTTTTTGTCACAAATAATGACAAAATACTTCAAATCGATCGACTGAACGGGAGGAGACTAAGTGAGATCTCTTGAAAATTGTCAGTATCGCAGAGACCGTCGAGGAGATTGCCATAATTATTCACCCTTTGCGCTCTAACTACCAGTATGGCTGCCACAGTATGTAATGGCGATCTACTCCAACTACCAGCTGTACTGATAACACATTAACTTCTTTTACTTTACTTAAAAATCTCTGGAGTAGACTACCTACAGGCGCTAAAAATGCATGGAGCGCAAGGGGTTAAGTGCAGTAAAAAATAATAATAATAAGAAGGAACCAAATTGCACCCTTTAACTCTCGGAATACGGACGTTTTTAATAGACACTGGTGTCTAAGTCCGTTTGAAACCCTATGCTTCCATCTTTGTAAATCTACTTTCGAACGGGATCAGTAAAAAACACCTGCTTTTTCACGTAACTAAATATGAACAACTCCTAGTTTAAATTACATTTACAAATCGATGATTTAGATACGGTCTTTATGCATTCGAGTCCAAACAGACCTGGTCACCGTACTCGAACGGTCAATGCATGCAAGAAAATATGAAACCAAGGTTTTCTATTTTGTAAGGATGTCAATAAAATCATTTGATGATTCGTTAATTAGATTAAGGTCATCAGTAACTGGCAGTACTACAAATACGAAATCTTTCACTTCGACGTATCCCGAAAGTTGCCCGTCGTACGAGAGCGTACATTTCATTCGATACACTTCATTAGTCGCCGGGGCTGGGTATTCAGTCGCCTGTGCGTCAATCGTGCTTTCGTAGTCACTGATATATTCTCGTTACATACCTAGTAGTCGCCGGCGACTAGTCACCAGTGCGTAAGGGGACCGAATGCTATTAAACATTTATCTTTATACATTTAGGAAATTGTGCATTAAAAACAAACATAGTGGATTTAACTTTGGTTTATTATAAACGTTTTATAGAAAATATGTTTTTTAAATAAAACAAAATTAAAGTGATAATAGTTTTTTTAAATAATACATCGCACTTTTGCGCACATTTTTATATCATTTATGATAACAAATAACTAAGGATAATTATTTTCTATCCTGAAGCTCGCTATTACTTTAAGAAAAATTTAATATTAACAAAAATTCACGATAGTGTCCAATCACCAGGACGTGTCCAACCACTGGGACATTTACCTTACATACATCCAGCATTTACAATGTTGATAAAAAATTTATATTGACTGAGTTATACCGGTGTAAATATTGCCTGCGGTTTCAACGTAATCAACTTCGCGTTCAGGTGAAAACGTGGAAATTAAGAATAATTTTATGGTACTAAAGCATAAAGTAATGTACCTTTTTTATTGCAACTGTCACAGTAAGAATCATACGGTGGATGTAATTTCGCGTTACACAATAGGCGTGCAGTGGATTTTGAAGAAGACAAATACTTGGACTTCAATTTTACTTTTACTCGACGCTGTGTTTTTATGTAGCAGTGTCATTTTTATGTTTGCGGTCTCGCATGTATTAAGTAACCATTAAGTACTACGACCAATAGAGATGACTTTTATGCCCCTAATATTGAGGCCTTTCTGCATGAACACTACCGCCCCGTAGCTATTGTTGTAACTTCACCACGTGTTTGAATGGTGAAAAATTGCTTTGACATAACATTCTATACATTTGAAACTTTCGGAAAAATGAAAAAAAAAATACGATTTTTTGAAACTGCTGGTAGGGTGTACCCCCTTGAGAGATCGAGTTGATGTCGATTCGATTGTGACAAACGTTATTTAGACCGAATGTATTTTGTTTGTTTCAGCTCATGAAATTAGTCAAGCAGATACTTGGCGAGAAACTTTTCACAAAGCTTATGAAGTCTACATTTTACGGTCACTTTGTCGCCGGCGAAGACGAGGTGCAGATCACTCCTGTCCTGGATAGGCTACGGCAGTTCGGTGTGAAACCGATTCTCGATTACTCCGTCGAAGAGGATATCTCTCAAGAAGAAGCAGAACGACGTGAACTACAGTAAGTCCTACTTTTGAGTCGATCACACTAATTCCGTATTGTCGATTACTGTGGTATGCAGGAAGACTGTGGTGTAACTCAGCGAACGATAATTGCCAGGAATGTATAGGAGTTGGACAAAATAATGAGAACACCTCGTACATTAAGAAAATTCTTCATTGATACCGTGTAGGACTACCATTGGCGTCTAGTACCGCCTGAATTCTCCTGGGAATTAAATCATACAAATCCTGAATAAACATTGATGTGCATCATGACTTTTCATTTTACAGAAGTTCCGTGTCTGAAGCTGGGGACGAAACAAGGGAAGGTCCTCTCAAGAAGTATCACGTTACAAAACCGTTCGCGGATCGACGGTACAAAGTGTCTTCAGCAAGAACGTACTTCTACCTGAACGAAGCTTCCTGCGAACGAAACATGGACATATTTATTAGATGCCTCGAATCCGTTGCAAGTAAGTCAGTTCATCTAGATTAATACTGTGTATAAAGCAGCAGATCAAAGAAATATAATATTCAACTTAGAAGTACTCAAGTACGTCCGCTACGCTCGAAGTTTCGTACAAAACTGAATAAAAAGAACTGAACGCTTTCAGTAAATATAATTACTAAATTCCTTTCTCCAGTTCAAAGAATGCAACATGCAAGCTGTCTGAATTAGCTGTGACAATTTATTTGAATTATTGGTTTCACTGATGTGCGTACACTAAATTTTTTCTGTTTCATTATTGGTGCTAAAATTTCAACTTTCATTTATTCATGCAATTATTTCTGGGGCTGTGTCTCTTCTATTTCATTTACTTAAGATTTTTAAAAATCGATCTTCTACTTCAATTGCTTTCCTTGATCTTTCTGGTCTTTCTATAGATGCACAACTGTCGCAACAAATCTTTTTGTACTATACACAACATAAGACTTTGAAACTCCCACTTTTTTCACGTGAAAACATACCTTAACAGCGGACAATAGTGGAGCACGGTGGATGCGTCCCGGAAGGCATGGCGCTGGAATATATTATGTTGTCACAATAAATTAAAAGTCAACATAAAATCTGCCAAAAGCACTATCATAATTTCAGTAGTTGCAAAATGAGGAATCTGTAATCCATCATTTTGACGGGTTTAATAGTCTTAAATGTCTGAACGTCGGTTCCGCTTTGGAACCGTTATGGATTCAAGATCCAAGTCGATGCATTTCGCACGTCATAAATTTCAGGCCGAGCCTCGACAGGTCGCCTTTGTATACTCGATGATACTGCTTTCGTGGAGCGGGACTCCCGACTAATTTTACAATTAGGCACTAGGGTAGAGCGTAAAACACAATGTGAAACTTTTATGGTACTCGAACTTCGTTCAGGGCCGTATGATATCAACTCGGAACTGTTTCTTCCATTTTGGTTTGTTTAACAAATTTTGTACAGCGTACAATTTGGAAAACCACCGGTTTTATTGCACGCCGTCTACCTTTTAAGATTGAAAAAAACTAATTTGCCATTGTAGAGTTGTTATTATATTCGTGCAAATTTATATTCGTCGTAAACTAATGTTTAACTTGCTGTATTTACGGAAACCATTACAATTAATTGTGAACGTTCCCTTCGGAAATTCCGATTTTATTACATGTCGTCTACCTTTTAAGATTGGAAGAAACTAATTTGCCAATGTAAAGTTGCTATTATATTCGTGCAAATCTATATTCGTCGTAAATGAAAGTTTAACTTGCAGCATTCTCGGAAAAAGTTGATGTATTTCTTAATCTTTGACAAGTATATGTTACCCTTTCTTCTAATACGGAAATTACATTTTACTGAGCAAGAGATAACGGGGGTCTGGGTGTAAAGTAAATGCACATATGTACTTCTGTAAGATACGTACAGCCCTGATTACGGTTTCATCAATGGGCCTTCGGTCACCCGCGAGTATACATATAGCTGCTTCAAACATATAGCGTTAGCCATAAACGTGACTGACCCTTAAACCATTAGTACTCGATCATCGGAGGCGCATTGTGACCCACCGTACTCAGGGTCGTACACCACTTTTAGCTATGGCGTTCCAAAGAATGAAATGAAAAAGACTGGAATATTTTAAAGAAATTTATGTTTTTTGTGGTGGGACAGCGAATTTGTGTGGTAGTACGTTTAGTGGCAATATTTAGAGTCCACTGTATATATATATTTTGCCGCAGAAAAGGACAGCGAGTGAAAAAGAAAGAGGGACCGAGCTTTAAATTTACGCCTGTCAGGTAGACAACAATAATGCAATGATCAAACTTTTTTATTCTTGGTTCTTTGTCAATGAAAATTTCATTAAAATATTGCTGTGATTTTTCTGATTAAAATGAGACCAAACACGATACAATTTGGATGATTTCGAATTTATCAGAAGCTGTAACTCGTATTCTTTTATTAATGCATGTGCATTATGTTCATTAAGAGTTGCCATATACAGTGAGTCACGGGAGTATACGAACCCTCCTAATTGCTGATTTCAAGATATCGATGTTTATTTAAAACATAAATTTCAAAATCCTTATCAATGGGAATGTATGTCGTATTAATTGACCTATCGTTTGATATAAAGTTTATTGCAAAATAACGATTCAGTGTAACGAAGACAGGAATGCAAGTAAACTGTCGCACAATTAACGCCACAGAAGTATTCGTACCGTCGAAATTTCGTATCTTTAAATGTGTAAATTTTGTAATGTAAATTAGTACGGAATATTGCATTGTCAGAGGCAGTTAGTGTCGAGAATTTATTAATCATAATTGTACAGTGAATAACGAAAATGAATATTCAAACGACAGTGTTATAAATCTACATTGTCATTATATTTTTTGATAATTTATTTAGACATCGTTCAATTTTGAAATAATTTTTTGCATGCGCAATTCTTACACTTATATAGTGAACCTTCTGACTATTAATCGTTCGAATACTTTCGGTATTCATTGTACACGGATTTCATTGTAGAACGAAAATAATCATTCTTGAAGTATTACATTTTTTTTAAGTTGAATAAAATATAAAGTGCCTCTAAAATAATCAGCATTTCATATGCAACGAACTAGTAAAACTACCGCGAATTATTTCAACATTCTTTTCTGTATAGGACATAATGAATTTTAATTGTAGCTTCGATTCAAGTTTCTTATTCTCATGAAAAATTTTTAGTAATAGGTTCTAAAATTTGGTGTGCCGGGGACGCATGAACGTACGATCTATAAATATCTTCCCTACAGAATCTTGTATTCTGCTAACTCTGCTAACCGTCCAAATAACATGGCACGACTGTGCTTGGAATCGCCTGAAAAAGTTTTTAATTTATTCCTATCATATAGTACCGATCTGCCCGAAATTACCGTTCACAGTACGGAATAAAATGGTAAGGTGTATCAGACGATTACTTATTTAAATAAAGGAAATAAACGAAACTACTAAAGTTTTCAATTATTCATGTAATAGTACTTTTTGTATTGTTACATTTTTTATACCAAGAAAAGGGTTAGAAAATGACGTTAGTGTACTGAAAGTTTGATTCGGTTAATTTGATATAAATAGGGATGTTTTATTTTTACTAAAATAATAAAGTAAAGCGTTGAACAGTAGAAAAAGAATTGAGCTAAGTAGAAATGTTTTTTGTTCTTTAGAAACGTTAAAATAGAAAGTATAACAAACACAAAGTTTAAGCATACTACAATACATGGTAAACGGGCATACAACAGTTGTCGTCACGAACACAGTTGTCGAAACAAAAAGGATCTTTAAGGGACAACGCCACTATGAAAATGAACAAAAAATCGATATTTTAAAAATGCATTTTCTTAATGTTTAACTCTTCAAAAGCACCATCTAAAAATTTCAAATCGATATTCGTAAAATTTACAAAAATGAATTGTATACTTTTTATTTATTTCTATATATAAAATCATTACCTTTCCTTCTATATTGTCGATTTCGAAATACTTTGTGTAAAACCTATTCAACGTAACGTTTTTTCTAATTTTGTTTAATGTTTTTGTACAGGTGCTTCAATGGGCGTTGGCATAACAGCTATTAAATTAACAGCTCTTGGTCGGCCACAACTTTTGGTATGTACACTTCTTCAAAGTAATTACAAAGAATAAATCTAAATTAGGAATAAACTAGGTCCTTTCAAATTTTCAATTTCTGCTGTTCAAAGGTGATTCTTCGTAAACAGTGGCAGAAATACGATTCACTTCTTAAATATCTCACTTTAGTGTGTAACATAAATTACCTTCAGTTTCGTCGTAAATACTACGCGTGAATTCTTCGTTAGTAAAAGCAAAGCATTTTATCCCTACAAATAATGTTCACAAATAATATTTAGAAAGTGTACGGTCTAGAAAAAATTGAATTCCTATGAAATGTAATGTTAGTTGTTAAATTTTTTGGGGGAACTTAGTGTTCAAGTGATAGTAATGCAATGTATTGATTCATAATCACTAATCTCCCAACATAATTAAAACATAAAAAACAAATGTAGACATATACTATTGTCCAAAAATTTGGAATACTCATATTTTTTAGTCAAACAAATAATCCTTTGTTAATATGTTCAAAATAATTGTCCTTACAAAAAAGTTTATTGCATATTTTGAGTAATTTGCAGAAAAAATTTTGTAAACTTATTAAGTATTATTTGAGCACATTTCTGTATCACTTTCGTAATATAAATTTTCTTAAAACCTCAAAATACGTCGGCAATTCTTCGCATTTTTAAGCGTTTGTCATTTTTCATAACCAGGATTTCCAATGAAAAATATCCTAAAAAATTTCCTAACATGTGCCTCGATAACTGCAATATGCCTGATTTTTTTCAGAATTTTCCATTCAGTAGAATAGAAGAAATAGAGGAGAAACTCACGATATTCCCTGTTATTACCCCCTGGTCAAGATCAAGGTTGAAACTTGGTACAAATTGTTTTCTCTTGATACGCTATCAAATTGTCTATAATAAGTTCAGTATGGTTTAGGGACAGTCGAAACATATTTTTTAGGGGTAGATATTTTTTTTTACTGGTAAACGTTCTTGTTGAAGGATTGAAGACAGCCCTTTGGGAGTGAAAAACATGTTTTGTCGAATATTTCGAAAAGTATTAATGCTACATGGATAGTTTAAATTACAAACTTGTATCTCTTTGAACAACAAATCTATCTACGTTGTTTTCAAAAAGGCCCATTTACTAAAAAAATATATTAAAAATTAATACACTTTAACATATTTTATTGAATGAAATTGTAGTATATTTCTAATGACTGATTTCGATAATATAAAATATTCGTCTTATTCCACACTTTATTCTTACGATACACTTTATATTCTGGTTAGGCTCGCACGGAACTCATTTTGAATTTCAACGTGTTTCTGGGACCGCCTTCGTCTTATTTTTTATAATGATAGAAATGGCCGGTGAACAAACAAGTTCGAACGCCTTCGAACTCGTATGGGCACAGGTAGTAGGCGAACTGATACGAGCATGAGCAGTAGGTAGTTCGAATTCATATGAGTACAAGTATGTAGTTCGGACAAGTTTGAACGGAGTCGAGCCTGGCGAAGCGTTCAAGCTTTTCAAACGATTCGAGCTGACCAATCAGCTCAAGTAGAATGAGACGTGTAAACGTCCCAAGCAGCTTGACTCGATCAAACGACTCGACCCCCAGAGTGTGTGGGTCGCCGGTCGCCTTTAGGACTACGATGCAAGGAGGATACTGATTATTCAACATCGAAGTCTCCGATGTCCCACCTGCTCGAGACAGTTGCAATATTTGAAGTTCAAACTTCAATCTTCAGATTTCAAACCTCCAACTTCGAACCCTCAGCTTGAATCGGCAAAGTAAAGTTTAACCAGTTACATGATGCTATGGGTGATCTGTGAAAGAGTTGAAATGAATTACACGGTATGAATATATCGCATCATGAACTCTGCTATAAAACTATAGGCCGCGTATGTATTCTACCTGAATAGTGATCATAGATTTTTGCAAAGAAAGACAGTTGACCTGGAAATATTCAAAATTATCAACTGTTTTAAGCTAAGGTCGTTACACGATTATAAAAGTATGGTAGTTTTGAAAAGAATTAATTGTTTTGTTGATTTATAATCGTTGGTACCGATATCTTCCTAATAACTGAAAAAATTATTCTATATACTTTCGACACTAATGCAATTCTTTGACAAAGTGATTGAAACGCAAATGTATTTGGCATTATTGGAGATTAAGTCATTACAGTGGATACAGTTCAGCTGCGAGGGTTGTTTTCAGCCCTTCCACATAAACGTTTATCGATTTAAAAAATGCATATCTCATGTTTAAAATCGGTGATTGGCACTTCGTGATGATCCCTTATTATTATGAAATTTCATAATATTATTTTTGTGCTAGAATTCTTCATGACAACATTGTTGGTTATAGTAGTAAGACTAGATAAGAGGAGGTCTACTGTACTATGAAAATTTAACATAAAATTATTAATTGTTTATGAACTTCTTTGTCTGTACGATACCCTTTCTGTTTTTTTTGCAGTATTAATCACAATAATGTTAAAGACAACAGTAGCCTTCACTTGATTATTTATTTCTTTGATAATGTTAATGGACATGTGTGAAGAACATGTTCAAATAGTTTTCAAGATTTGTTTCTCGTAATCAAAGTGAAAAGAAAGACAAATTAGGCGGCAGATTGTGGATGTACTTGGAACTGCAATACAAATAAAATTCTGGTGATTCTTTAACATAAAGTTTGTTGAAAATTAGACCTCTGAATATTATTTATTCGATAATAATAAGTTCATATTATTTATTATAGAACAATTTTTATTATAAATAGTATGGATTATTATTATAAATAATATAATATTTATAATAAATATTATTTATTAAATAATATTTATTAAATAATATTTATAGAATAAATAACAGAGTAATTATAGAATAAATATTATTGATTTATTTTATATTTTTGCAGCTCCAGCTATCAGAAGTAATTATGCGGGCACGGCAATACATGTCTGACGTTGTTGGTGGTGAAGGTGCTGTATTGACCCATCACGCGAAACCAGACGACTTCATGAGAAAGTTTGAGGAAGCACACATCAGAGATGCAGCGACAGTACAAAAGTTTCTTCAGAAAATTCAGTCCGATAAGGAGGGGTAATTTCTTATACATTATTGTCACTTCGACGGCCTTTCTTGCGCAGTTATAGAGGGAAACTTCGTAAATGTTGTCCGAAAATTTATTCTATAAATTATTTTGTTCTGCATGTTACTACTATGAACTTGGATCACAGTATAATAGAAATCGATATAATTAATGTAAAAAAAAAAAAAATTGTGGTTACTAATTAAGTTCGTCTAATTCCAGCGTCATTCACTTGTTCCCATGGAGCGGTATCCTCGATGAGAATTATGAACTCAGTGAAACTTTCCAAGTACCTGATATTAAAACAGGGAAGATGGTGAGGTTGATGTCGCAGTTAACGTCAAAAGAAGAAGAAATGTTCAGAAACATGATCAGGCGTCTAAATAATATAGTTTCGGTATGCATATAAAAATGTGTGTAGAGAAGTATATTAGGCACTGTTAATGCGAATACAAGTACCTGGAACACCTTGTAGACGCACATAGTTGCTATTCAAAGCAACGGTTCAAATCAGGTGTTGATACGATACCATTTCGATTGCATTGTCAGTACCTTCAATGTTAAAAATGTTACGTATCTGAGAAAATTTTGTCGATTTACTTTTTGAATCATCATGAATAGATTATAAGATCACTTTATGATATACTGAATAGTTTCTTTTCTGTTTAGACAAATTTTATCAACAATGTTAAATTTCATCAATAAGTGACGAGTTTATATAATTGAATGTAGCATAATATAATTTAATATAAAATAATATGTCGTTTCTACTAAATGAAGTAGTTATCTAAAGATTATACAGCTGGAGACTGTTTCAATTAAATCTCTATATATTGCTTCTACAAGTCATCAATTATTCAAACACTGAGATAAATAGTAGACTTACATTAGAAACTTTAAATTTATAACTCATTTTCAAGGGTTGAATTGAGGTGAATTTGCACTTACTGTGCTGATGATTAAATAATCTTGCAGGACCTCTATTCCTCATATCTCCACTTCTTCTTGTATTTTTCTTTTCTTTTACTACGTCTAAGATTTGGCTAGTTCCTACCATTTTACCTTTCTATCAGTTGATAATCTTATAGTTATATTAGTAATCCACTGTACTTACTGTTAGGTATTACCTCAGACTTAGTTACCATTGTTTTTACCTTATGGCCATATGTGATGACATTGATAACACATACATCTATTGTATTTCATATCCTACTTACCTTTATTTATTCCGATTAAAGAACGCAAACTAAATCTTAAAGTCTAGGTCAGCTGTTTGTTGTTGCTAGTCTTTGTAATAAATTTTTGTAAAATCTTCTTTGTTCATCATATAATCTCAAGGACTGATATATTCCTGTTCATTAATCTCTACACATACGAAATATATACCTACAGATAGTTTCCTTCTCTGGACATGTACCCATTACAGACTGAACATACACATGTATTATTTCTTCTGAGTTCAATCCATCATCATATTACTTATTTTATAGTTACTGTATAAAGGATCTTACTTATGCGTGCTAGCTGTACGACCAAATTACTAGGAAATGTGTGTTACAATTTCGTTCAGTTGGAAACAAGTTCTTAAGGATGTAGGCTGAATGTGAAAGTCTAAACTACTGAGTTTTTCATATTTTGATTCTTAGAGGTATGATAAGTTGTCCATGATAAAAAGCTTTCTAGCTTTGCAAGTGTTCAGAAAGTAAGAGTAACAGAACTTTCTCACGATACTAATGTAATAAAACTATTTGATTGGTTGAAAAGGCAGAATTGCTAACTTCTGTTTCAGGTGGCTGATAAGTTAAACGTGCGTATAATGATAGACGCCGAACAGACGTATTTTCAACCAGCAATTTCGCGATTGACGTTGGAGATGATGCGCAAGTACAATACAGATAAGGTAATGTTTTGTTATTGTAGATATGTCATTATCACTTAGTAAATTTTCAGTGAATGATTTCTGACTCCCAATGGTCTACTTCATAGGCTGTGGTGTTTAATACCTATCAGACATACTTACAAGAAGCTTATAACGAGGTGAAAACGGACCTCGAACAAGCCGAACGGCAGAATTTCTACTTCGGTGCTAAACTTGTTCGCGGAGCTTACATTGAGCAGGTAATTTTACCATATATTAGATTCCTTTATAGAGCGTACATAAAAAATTCGGGATAACCAAGGTGAATAATACTCATTAAATTAAATGAACAGTTAATAAACATGTAAGTTTTTAAGTAATTAATCGATTCCTCATATACTCTGCTATTCTTTTTTAGAGTTATAACTCAAAAAACACTTTGTTTCGCATTAAAATTGAAGAAGCCATATTGTATTCTCTTTTATATTTCATTCATCCATTTTCAATAATATAATCAGTAATTGAGTGTCTTAAATATAAAGCTGAATATTATGTAATTAAATTGCACCTTTTTGTAGTAGAATATTGTATAGATAAATTACAAGTGAAAACAATTCTTGAGAAAGCATTTATTGAAGTATTAAAATAAGATGGTATATCATCCTATTACGAATCGTAAAATAGGGGCATAAATATTTTAAAATCACTTCTGATTAAGTAGTATTTGTTGTATTAATAGCTTAATTATTCAATTATTAATTCAACGGTAACTTTGTTCCTACAAAAACTGAAGTTTTATATCAACATATTTTATTCTATTATCAAATAATTTATTCCAGTATATCGGAAACGAATATTTAATTTCATATTTATAAAAAATTTATAAACGATTTGAATTCTATGGATATTTTATGAACCAATCGAGTTTCTTGTATTATACATACAAATTTTAGTTCACATCTGCTTCTAAAATGTTAATTATTTAAGTTATGTTGACCAAGCATTAATATGTATTTCAGAAACTATAATTCGTTATCTTGTATTTCCAACATCTTTGACGTTTATACATGTATTCGATTATATACATAAGGTATTGACTAGACAATGTTCGATCATGTAACTTGATTATCTAGGAGAGAGCAAGAGCAGCGGCCATGGGATATCCTGATCCAACAAATCCTACATATGAGGCTACAACTGAGTCCTATCATAAAACACTTATGGAATGTTTAAGGCGAATGAAACAGTACAAAGATAAAGGCGAGGATCCTAAAAAAATTGGAATTATGGTAGCATCTCATAATGAGGACACAGTACGCTTTGCTATTGAGAAGTATGTAATGTATAATAGTTCATTAAGCTGCTGTCGTACTGTTTCACTTCTTTAAAACAACCAATTCTCTTATGTTAATTCAGAATGAAGGAGATAGGAATCTCACCGGAGGATAAAGTAATCTGTTTCGGCCAATTGTTGGGAATGTGTGACTACATAACATTTCCGTTAGGTATGAAATTAGAGTTTACTTAATAAAACGATTTAAATTCAATTAACATAGAAAAACCTTGGTGGAAATAGTACATGATTATTATGATCGGTGTTCGCTGGTAATTGCAACTCCGAAATATAATCGTCCCGTGTGCCTCAGTTGCCGTGTGTTGTATATCTCTGAAATACTTATCATAAACCGAGCCTGTTGGTTTCCCAACCCGACGCTGTATTTTACATAATAATGAAAAAAATTTATATAGTACTGAAACTCGAACAACCGACATTTGTGTGCAAGATACGCACCACTTTAATTGACACGGCTACAGCGCTGTTGTTTTCAGCGTTTCAGGTTGCCTTGTCACACACTCGACAATCTTTATTTTTCATTTTTTACATACGAAGGCCTATATGGCAGAAAGCTAATAGGGATTGTCCTGTGTTATAGTTCATACTTTTACTGAGAACAGTTTCAACCAAATATGAGTCATCATTTTGAGCCAGTGTCCTTGTTAGTTACATATGTTCCAAAAAAGATAGCCATAAAAAAAAGCACGACAATAAAAAGTATATGTGGTATATTTCTTAAGAAAACGTTGATTTACTTTAATATATGTACGTATAAAGAGACGTATTTATTAATTTTACATGTTTTCTTTGTGTTTAATCGTAAATCTACGTTTCTTTTATGTTTCCCAAAAAATTTGGTAATCGTGATGAATTTTTAAACATTTCTCTGTGTTGAGGTTTTGACAAACGTATATGCAGTAAATGCATATAATCTTAAATTTTTAAATTTCAGGTCAATCCGGGTATTCTGCATACAAATATATTCCTTATGGTCCAGTCAAAGAAGTATTACCTTATCTTTCTCGGCGAGCACAAGAGAATAGAGGCATACTTAAGAAAATCAAGAAGGAAAAAAGTTTATTATTAGCTGAAATTATGAGACGTTTTGTGCGCGGCGAGATATTTTACAAACCGAAGGGAAACTACACTCCTGTCTGAGCAGCTGATTCGATTCATTTGCACAGACAGATTTTAAGTATCAAACTTAAGTAGTGATTGTAAATTATTAAAAAAAGACTTCTGTGGTACGCAGAGCAACGCGCGCGTGTGTGTGAATGGAAGTATTTGCAGTGTTATTCATTATGCAAAATTTCCTCGGTGTGACGTTATCAAGTGCAAAAACTGCTCAATATCGCACCATGTGGTAGAACTATGTTCATTGCTCCTTATGTCCGTTACAGAAAACTCTCAGTGCATTACGATATGACTTTTATAAGTAATAGGCACGTTTTACTGCTTCGTTAATGAACACCGTGTTCAATATTATGTTCGCGAGGCAATGTTGAACATGGACATTTTTTAATAGTTCGTTGTGTAAAGAACAGAAAATATGAAAATATGATTCTTCACGTTTGAAATTTCATATGATTCTTGTTTAGAAGGTTCCACGAATGCATACGAATTTGGATTAGTTGATTCTGAATAAAATTCTAGCTAAAAATGGAAGAAATATATAATTATTTGGAACGTATTAGTTGTCAAGTTTTGTTACTAATATTTTATTTAAGAATCTCGTAGTGTGCGTGCGCACGATTACTTATAGTGTACATGTTTAAATATTCGTTGACACGCGTAATTTAGTATTTCTTTTTCGAGAAATATAATTTCCATACGAAAATCTGCAATTATGAAATCATACCCGTAGTGAACTGCATTTAATTAAGCGGAATATTCGTGTGAAATGAACGTTCAGCCCAGTTCCAGTGCTTTATGCGTAGTTACCAAGAACGGTTATTACCAAAGTGATAGTATTGGCAAATACTAGGGAATGCAGGTCGTAGCAGAGTCTGTTTGATTTGAATGAAAGTGTTCGCACATAACTTTAGAAAGTGGCTCTTACAAGCTTTTATTAAATTAACGACGACTGTTGTTGAAAATTGAAATGCTGGAAATGTTTTACTAAAGTCTGCGCTATAAGCGTATTGTAAGAGACATTTTCTATCATGTGATTACTACGCATGTTGAAATAATAAATAAGTAATCTTGGGCTAAATCAGTGATAAACTGCAAACTAGGAATTGAACAATAAACTACGTAATTGTGACACATTGCAGAAGTTTTTAATTCACTTTGCTTCAGCCTAAAATTACTTTGTCTTATCAGATAATAATAATCATAAATACATGATGCTATTTGAATAATGCGCCCCAGCAACTAATATGGCTTACACACGGTTCTCTGTTACAATTTTCTTTTAAGAATTACAATTAATTTTAAGAAATTTCAATATCGAAAAAGCTTTATAATTTATACATAATAAATTCTTGTCAAGTTTTAAAAAAGAGTTTTACGTATTGAGCGACGGAACCTGTGCTTTTGCTCAGCGGAGATTAAACAAAAGAAGATATTATATACACAAGCTGCTGAGTATTGATCATTTTTATTTTAGCAATGAAAATAATTCGACCTTTGGTGGATAATTTCCATGCAGTAGCATAACATGATATTTTCCTGTCAGTATTTCTTCGAGATCAAAGTAGAGTGTACTTTGGTTTGGCAGATTTTCCTTCGCGGGTAATGTTTTATTTTAAACTATACGTATATACATAGAATTGTAGTAAACAGCTACCTTCGTTTAGATAATATATGAACGTACAATTTTTTATGATCTCCTGTATTATTATACGTTGTACTTGCTTTCAGAATGTGTGTATGTAGTTTGTATTTGCAATTGTCGAAAAAAAGAAGTATTATGTTCTGTAGAACAGAATTTTTGTAGAGGTATAATTTTTGTTGAGATTAAGCAAATGTCGGAATCATGTTATACTTGCTGATCTAGGAAAGAATTTAAATGAATAAAGGGGCATTGATGAAGTTATACAGGCTATAGCTAAATATTTCTATGTGGCTAATGGTATGTTGGATGTGAGTGATCTAGGTACAATTCTACTTGTTATACTTAATGTACGACTACGGCGTCGATACATTAATTAATTTCTACACGTCTCGTGATGGTGACAATAATTTAGGTAGATAATGTTACAATATTAAACTTATATGCTATAAGTATAAACTATATGCCGTGATGAATTGCATATGTCATCACCGGTTGGATTTATAAGAAAATGACACGAGATTAGTGAATAGAAATTAGTAGGGAGTGAACAAACGGTGACTGTCTTCGTACAAAATTGTACGATTATACGTAAGGAACGTTCACTACTGCGAACGTGCATTTTACTGCCAGAATGAACTTATATACAATGATGTTTCTTGACCGAATATTATGACAAATATTTGCCTGTGTGTGAATATATTTATGATGAAAGTAGTACAATGGTGTTCACTATATTGTTTTAACAGTCAATGTTAGTTATATCGATTCATTGTATATAGGATACATATATGTAAGTTAATAATTGAAACCATGCTTATAACAATATTCGGCTACTTGCTTTTCCGTAGAGACATTTTTATTCAGGTATTAAAATTGAAATATCTTTTTGAAGCAAACACTATGTCACAAAGTAGGTGAAAGTAAATTGAAACGTTGATCAATATAAAATAAGATAATATTTATTATTTCAAGAAATACAGTTAATATGCTTTACCAATACCGTTTATAAATCTGTATTCATTTACTAGGACATAAACATTTCCTTCCATTCTTTGTAATGAAATTGACCGTAACTATGTAAATCCGGCTCAACGGTTTAGAACTATTATTTCCCCGTCAGATCAGAATGAGCAAATTTATTGCTGAAGATTCGAGATTCATTGAAAGTCGTGTTTCCTGCCCTAGCATTTACAACAAGTAACAATATTTTCCTCTTGCATAATATTGATTCTTCTTAAAGTGTCTCCTATGTATTTTTCTTTGGGTCTGTATAGATCTCACAATCACTGATACAATTGATTTCAATATTGCAAAATATATTGGTATACATACAAATATATGATACTGTTATATGAATTAATTTTACAGCGAATACAAATGATCAGTCGTACTTTGCAATATTATATAGCAACAAGGAGAGTGATTTTGTATTTTTTAATTTTTTTGTAAAATTTACAAATAGTTCGGTTATTTGTTTGTCTTTCCTTTTTGTAAATTAGGAAATGTTTCATATAAATACTTATTCATTAAATTACTATGAAACATGTTGATTTTCTATTTTGTAACAGTACCCAATATAACATGTATTAATTTGAATTTCAGTTTCCTGAATGTCGTCCCCATTTCCTTTACCTTAGAATCTACAAGAGACTGTAACTGCGTTACATATTGATATAATGATGCACGTTACTATGTGCGTACATAAAAATTCTATAGGAAGCATGATCTAAATGAATATATATGTACTTGTGACACGGCATGGATTGTGTTTGAAGATGATGTATTAAAAAATAGGATAAATATCAAACAATTTCAAGTATTCTTACGTATTACGCTTATTTCAAGGTCATTACATATAAGGTGAAGTCGACTATATGTTACACTTAACTTTTCATTCTTCGATATATGTAAAAGTAATAAATAACAAACAGATACTGGAAAAAAAGAACAAAGAATCCTTACGTTTAAAACAGTTTTAAGATATTTATTTATTTAACGCTAAGAAGTAATTATTTAACTTAGAATTATTCGAATCTTTTGCAATTTACCAATAGACGATCATATTAACAATGTACTAGCATCGGAATCGAGTAACGTATGCTATGTTTCTTAACATAAAACGTCAAGAATTTAAAGAGAAATCAAAAAAACGTCGTTTGTACAATAAATTCGTAGTTTGCTTACTTATATTTCCGTGTAGATGATAATAATCTTTTGTATCAATTTTTGTGACTATAGTCAAACTATGATTCTATTTATTTTTCGTGTCTTACCGTATTTCACTTCCACTCTGTAATAGAGGGTAGGTGTGATTCACGATCCCTCTTCCTTGCAAGATTAGAATTAATTGGGTTTGAAAGACATCAGGTACGTTTCGACGTTGAACGTCAGTTAATGATTTGTCAGAGAGATACTACTATGATTGGACTGTTCGATCATTAACAATATATTTCTGTATGTATTTATACATAGTTATCGTTCAGTCTTGTACGAGATCGATTTATTAAACCGACCGTACGTTTAACGGAACTACATCTTGCCCGCAATATGTATATATTTTTGCTGCATGAAGATTTTTTTACGATCAGACGTACGCCCGTTCCATTCAACTTGAAGAACGACCTCACTGAACAAATTTCAATTAACATAATCAACAAGACTGGGTACACTGGTGTACCAATTTATGGACTAAAGCATATATAATTAATTAGATTATTGATTGACGGTGTTTTATAATTCTAACTAAATATTCGCTTAATATTACGCGACAGTACATTTTTTGTCCTTTCGTATATCACATTATTTATAAATATTTTTACTAACTTTTTGGTTTAGTACGTTTAGTAGTTTCAGCAACTGAAACGTTTGATTTCAAATATTGAATCATTCAGTAATTTTACAAAAATTTATATTATGCATGACTTGACATAAATCAATGTTTATTATACAATACATGTATGTATGTTCTCTATGTATTTATCGATATCTATGATCTTGAAAATTCCACCAATACCCTTGGAAAAGACGTCTTACAAACTTGGATGCACATTTGAGGGAATATATCACCTCCGAATTTTTAAGAATCGATTTTTTACATACAGAAGATATTTTTGGAAAATTGTTTTTAAAGCATGAGGCCGTGTCGAACAATTTTTAAGTACATAGTTGTATAGATATTTTATAAAATAACAATTTATTAAGGGATCACGTTAGGAAGTTCACTTCAAATGATAATAAAAGCTTCCATTTTTTACTAGTACACACAAAAACGTTAAATAAATTATTTTCTGCTATTCTCATATATGCATACATGTCGTTGTCGCGTCGTTACCGATCATGCTTTTATTTCGTGAAAGATAGTAACAAACAAATTTTACGTTTTTTGTCTTAACAGTTTGTCTGTATTCTGTGAAAACATACAAATTTGGCATATGTCAAGTGTAAGTGATATATTCCCATAAACTATGTAGAAAATACATTTGCATCCAATACAATTAACAAAGAAAATTAGGTAGCTCCATTTGTAGCTCAATAAAATGGTTTTGATATGTATGTATGTATGTATACATTTACCAGACAGAACACAGCCGTCTTATGAACGTCTTAAAGACGTCCTTTCAAGACATTCAAGAGGTCTCAGACATCAAAGTATGAACCCAGTTAGCCAAACCTGTAAAGCCCAATTTTTACCAATGTCTGGTATACTGTTACGTACTCAACATGGCTACAAGTTTGATGCAAGATCTGTCATCAACAACTTGCACGGAGATTGGCTGCTAATTTGCTTACTTAATTGGCTACAACCTAAAACTTATTCACATTAAGAACAATTAACGGTTTTGATATTTAATAAAATTGATGATAAGGAATTCCACTTCCAACGTGTGAGTTCCATGTACTGATTTTTTTAGTCCCTGGAAGGTACGAAAAAAAAAATAGAAAACGCGATAATCACATTCCAAAGTGTCACGATTCTTTTAATTATCAATTTTTTTCGTTTACTCTGGTACCTACGATAGTCCAACGCATACTAATTAAGAATCTTTTTTCTGTTTTCTTCTAGTGACTGCGTTTGGGGGCTTACCCTATCGTGAATATTGATTCTTTTCCTTTACAAATATTTGTGAATGTTTTTGAGAGATGAACAAATATGTACGAAAAATGCCAACAGTAAAATGTTTCGTATTTTTTTTTTGTAAGAAAATGCCAAAAAAGCTTAAAAACACGTCTACAGTAGAATATCCCCACAAGATGCAACCTTGAACGGGCTTTACCAGACGTCTATAAGACCTAATTCGTAACATCGTCAGAACGTCTTCTTGCAGACGTCTTTAAAACGTTCAGTCGTAAAATGAAAATCTTTAAGACGTTGTGTACTGTCTGGGATTAGATACTGATTGAATATTCAATATTATAGTCGAAATGTAAATTTTATGGCGAATATTTAGATGTACAAGAATAGAAAAGTGTTACAGTAAAATTAAAATATAACTAAAGGTGATTAATTCGAAACTGACCTTATTATTCGTCCCAGTCTAGCACTTAAATGTGGGAGATGTCGAAAGTTTATTAGACGTTCAGTTTGAAGAGACAGGAAGAACAGTGCTGTCATCAGCTTTAGTAGTTTTTCTTTGGTTGTCCGCGGTTGTTGGTGAACGCTGCGACGGAATATCCTTTGTGATTGTATTCTGTTCAACATTGGTCGCAAAAGCAACGCTATGAGCTCTCCGTCGTGAACACCTCTTCGCTTTAATTCTATCGTGTTCCACAAAATGTTTCCTGGTTCTGTTGTGTCTCTTCGTCGTCCTTAAGCTGAATGGAACGAGTTTGTCTCAATCTCTGTAACGAGCTTCTGTCTTGATGATGCTTGACCCATGATCACTTATAGTCGAATTTTCCAGTCACAATGGTGCCAGGCTTTTACCCCTTTTTGCTAGTCTGATCTCTAACCATATGTAAGGAACCACGGACAGAAGTAACACACAAGCAAGGCCAAGTACTCTAAACCGTGTACAAACTAGTCCATGTAAACCCAGTGTTAAGGCAAGACCAAGCCACCTCCAAAAAAGAGACGTTGATAAAGGTCCTTGCCAAGAATTTGGATATAAACCCAGCACTAATGCTGAAAAACAAAATCTGTTGTTAATATCAAATGTACAATATGAAACCGTTAACGTTTAACTCTATTTTAATTAATACCCTGATAGCACATGACGCCTTGAAGACGGCTGAATGGCGCCTCAGACCTAAAATAGCCGTAAAATGGGCGTCTTGAAGGAGTCATGTACTATTTAAAAAGGCTTTAACCAGCACAGAATCAGTAAAATACGAAGAATACGGTGATTTGTTTCTGACGAAACTGTTCATAGATCAATATCTAGGCATGTGGGACTAGGAATTCGAAGACCCTGATAACCAGTAGTTTGCAAGTTTTGAGCAAATTGTCAGTAAATAATAAGAAAATTTGTCTAAAAAACCATAGTCATCCGTTTCCGCATTTGACTTAGGCTTTGCAGGCAAAGCCTGCTATTAATAAGATAAAGCAAATTGGCAGCAAATTACAATTGACTCTAACTATATTGCCATTAAACATATTGCAATGCGAAGCATTTCCACACAAATTCGCTCTCCCACTATGTTGCGTACGCCGGCGCACCAGCATGATCCAGCATGATCCAGCATTTGCGCAGGCGCTGACGCCGAGGCTATGACGATAGAACTTAGCATGGAGGGAGTTTTTAACTCATTGCCATTTTACTCCCCTACAGCTCCGACCATGGCAATATAGTTAGAGTCCACTGTATCAGTAAGTCTTGCAACACAACCCTGGCTAACTAATCTATGTAAATAGGTCAATTTATAACCTATATTGCTAGACTTGCAGCTAATCTGCTGCCAATCTCCGTACAAGTTGTTGATAGCAGATCTTGCAGTTGTTAGAAATTTAATTCAATTGTGAAGATATTTATTAATAACTCACTATATATCAGAGTTTCCCAAATGGAATTGCAAACTCCCCAAGCAGCAGATATAACGTGAAAGAGTGCTGGATCATCGCCAGATGGTCTCCAGGTGATCAGAACCAGCAGTAAACAAGCATGGAATACAAACCCAACAACTTCAAAAAAGAATACAGGAATTACTAAACTTGTAAATGTACTGTGTTAAAAGTAAAAAGCACAGTAGAACTTACCTACAACAAAGTATCGTTTAATGTGTCTTAACAACATCGATAGTGTTACACCAGCAAGAGCTTGTAAAGATGCCAAACTTAAAAAACTAAGAGTTACTGTACCAGCTCCTCCCAAAGCACAGACTACATATGCCTGTTAGATAAATAATTAAATATTTAGTACACTTTGAAATACGATAAAAAAATACACATAGTGGCACAAAATATACGAATACGAACGTAAAATCAGATAAGGTAAAAATTTCCATGATTTTGATCTATTTACAAATTTTCAAATACAAACTTTTTATGGAAATGTTTACAAACATATGTTTACTGGAGTTTACTTTTAGTTAGAATTAGGTTCTCTATTAAATCTCAAGCAAGTATTTTCATATTTTGGGATACCCTGTAAATGTTGCAATATTACACTAATATTTGAAAATGTGTAAATATTTCTTTCTTTATACAACTAGAAATTGATAGACTTACTAATGAAAATTTGTTTTTTATTTCTTTTAAGAATATCAGGCTATAATACTCACCTCTATAAAATCAGCATAGATAAGTCCCTGTTCAAGACCAATAAAAAGAGTTAGTGGCGCAGCCAATTGTAATTTAGGGTCTTGAAATGCAGATTTTACAGATGCAAGAATGTTTTGCGTACTGTGTTTTTCGTTTACATTCTGTGGTTCTTTCATTCTGGAATCCAGAAAAGCACAAGATATGCTTAAGCCTAATACAGCAAGACCAAGCCATATGCTGACCAGTATCGTTGATGTTCCATATGGTAGTGTTGGTGTGTTAATTGTGCCATTGTAAAGGTAAATTTCCTCTGGACAATACTCTGCTCCACACATATCATTTATTTCATTGTTCAATGTGCCGGAAGGTATTGAATCTGTTAGTTTTACAAGTATGGCAGCAATTAAACAACCTGAAAGAGATACATAATTATTGTAAAACTTTCGGGCACACTAGTAGTATAATATACTATTATACAATAATAGTTGTGGTTGCGATTGCTTTATGACCAAAGGCTAAAGGATATAAAAGATGAAATGTGATATATTGTTTAAAATGATGAAATTTAGGCAGTATTGCAGTATTTACATTACATTAACAGTATTGTAAAAACAGTAATCATTATAATTAAGATGCTTTGCAAAAGTTCTGAAAATCAAATGTTTCATACCCAGTGCAAGACCTATATCTTCTGCTAATTTAATTCCTCGATTAAGTCGTCTCAGAAGGCACTCGCGTCTTGTTTCATCAGGATCTTCAGGATCAACGCATACAAGAGCTAAGCTAGTTGCTGATGTGTTTACATGCGAAACTCGTGCTATGAAATTCGGTGTAATACATGCACCCAGAATTGCATAGCTGGGTAATAGTACATACCTGTAAATGCAACATTATAAATAATAACTCTAGATTATAATTGCACCGATGTCGATGTACGTCGGTGTCTAAAAACTATTTATTTTTAACTTCAATCTTGAAACCTCATAAAATGTGATTTGAATCGGACAACTTTTCAAAATTCATGGGGTACTTGTACAATTAAATATAATTTGAAAAAAGTACAACACACCTCTAAAATTGAAAATTTGAATTTTTCTTTTAAATTGATTTTTTCAAAAAGTGTATGTGCTAGTACAAAAACGGTCTGCAGATTCATACTCAGCTTATAAGTATATTGAAGGCTGCAAAGTGTTTTACGTGTTGAACAGTGTAATAAGTAGGAACGGAATGCAATGAACAGACGCGTCAGCCAAATCCTATTCAATTGCACGCATATCCAACCGATTTTCAAATTGGATTATCTCCAAAATTAAGTGTCATGTGAACAAATTTTATTGTACAATTTCGACTTATTTTCACACGTAGAATCACCTCATGTCAGATTATGCCATCAGTTCGGAGATACCGTGTATAGCAAGAAATAAACAACTTTCAAGTGTTGTAAAGTCGTCGAATGTCAACGACCAATAGAGTGTAAAAATTTTGTTACTTTCGTGATGTTTTTATGAAACATTTAACAATCAATTAGTGATGTTTTATTTCAAACAATAACTGTTAATAAGGGAGTGCAATATGTAGCGTCGCAACAATAGCTGAAAGCTCTCTGAATAAAACTGTGTTGAGCTTCATTTTCAAGACGAAAAATTCATAGGTATGTTCAGTACGTATGTTCGTATTTCGTTTTCTATCCTTGCGCAATAATGAACACGATTCTGCGATCATTTCGTTCGCTAGAGAGTTGATCCTAAATTACTCCTTTACTCTTTTATCGTAAAGTAAGTTTATTATACAGTAAATCTTCGATGAGTGTTCAAAGGCTCCTCGGCACTGAACATTAAATATTTCATAGACTAATGGCCATATGCGGCTGACATAAAAGTCATTGGCTTCAGAATCCCAAGCTCTATCAATGTGCTAAACCTCATTAAAAAGTCAGCGTTACACCTGGGGACCTGTCCTTGTCAATGCTAAGGACTTTTCACATCACCCCAGGAATCACCCCTTTCAAGAACTTACACCTCTTTTGGGACACCCTCTACAGAAACCGTCTTACATGGACACAGCGTTATAGGAGGATTTACTTTAATCACTAATACTCGGTAGATCCATCATACGATCTTCTAACGGTACGTACCACTTTGGATAAAGATGTACCCCAACGAAGAATGTGGTAGCCACGTGGCTGGTACTTATCGCAAGATTCGTACCAAGTTTCTGCACGAATATCGGTGCAAAACAACTGGTGATGGTCGCAGTCGCGAAAAGAAGAGCTAGAAGCATCGGTCCCAGTTGGGGATTAAATATACCGAGACCAGCTTGCAACGGGAACATGGGCAGCGTAGCGGCTGAACAGCTTGCGTGTCCTAGAAGGAGGGCCGCGCAATGCCTAAGAATCGCTTTTTTCGGCGGTCGCGGACCGGAAGGCGCTGCTCTGACCGCGGCGATTAGACGACGCACGGATGATGCTCCCGCCGAGGAATTCATAGAGTCCCGTCGCCGCCATGATAGAGCGGATGTCCTTGTGGAACGGCAGGAGATGGGCGAATAAGCTGCCATGTGCTGTGAATCGTTATAAGTATTGTCAGTAAGCGATACGGAATCACTTATGATTAAGGTAATGAGTAGACTACGGATTTTTATGCAAAATGATATTTTCTAAAGTACTTTATAAAGACAGGCGCGAATGTAGAAATTTATTTTTTCTCTTAAGTATCATATTGGGTTCATACTAAAATAGAAAACTAATTATTGGATCCGATGAAAGCTTTGTCTTCTATTGCATTTCACAGAACGTATTTTATACCACGTACGTGGGTTGCACAAAATAAAGTTACACATCTGGCAATATTCATTTACATGTTTATTTAACAGTAAAACTAAGAATAGAAGAATATAAACATAATTCTTGAAAATAAATGGAATTTGAGATTGATTAAAATCAAGAGTATATTATAAGCGTATATATATAAGCCTCAATTTGTTGTTATTTTTTCTGAAAAAATATTTTTCACATTCTCGAGCGCTACTTCTCTTAATTACATCCGACCCTTCAATTGATGTTGCAGGATTATTAGTTAAGTAGAATGTAAAAATTGAACAGCTTAATTCTAATACAATTTTACTTAATACTTTAACGTAATGAGGATAGTATTGTATTTGTTTCTACTTAGTTGCGTTGCGTATTGCATTTCGGCCCAAGTATTTATTTTTTATAACATAAGATTTTACATATTTTAATAATTTCTGGACGGGGGGGGGGGGGGGGGGGCAGTCCGTATTCTATTACGTATGTCCTAGTTACGCCAATAAAATCGCGTTTTTTTATCGCTAACGGCGAACAAGTCCACTACTCTTTACTTTGTTATGTCGTCCAATGAATCTTCTAGTGTTCGGTCAATTGTCTTAATTCGCGTGTGTTTCATTGGGCTCGACCAAGAGTCCTCCTTCAACCTCCACGCTCAACGCTGAGCGATCTCAGCAAACTCATTATCGCAAGTTGCGGCCAGTGGCCAATTTCGATACAATTTTGAACAAAAACCCAGTGCAGATAGTAATCGATTTGACGTGGAATTACACATACCTTAATTATATTAATTAATGTACCTCTAGCATAGCATCGTTATCCCACAGATTATGGTGGTGACCACTGCTTCTAACGCGCCTATGTGTGTGTGCTAATGGTGGAGGTTGAGCTGGCAGTCGTATAGGTCCTAAACCACCAATCGGTGCTGGTCTGAAAGCAGGACTCTCGAGTTTGTCCTTCGACAATTCGTGAAGATTTGGCAAGGATCCCATGATTCAGTTTCCTGTTATCCCTTTTTCTGTTTCTTTTATTGATTTTTATTACTTATAATCGTTCGAGCATTTTTTTTTTATTCTAGTCAGATCATCGTCAAGGAAGTACGGAGTCATTATCATCGTTGTAATTCTCATGCTCTTCGACTTTCCAATAGTTCATATAGTGGCTTTACTGACACCTAGAATGAGAAAAAAAAATTTAGTTAACAGACTTGAATTAATGGTGTTTTCGTCTTTTACAGAAATGATCAAAGCAACTTCGAACCATCTCGGTTTTTTTTTTGATTCCATACAATGACTAATCAGTCGTATGAAAATATACAATTCACAATAGTATTTGTGTAAATTTAGTAACATTTTCCGTAAATACTATTTATATATACGATTTTGTAATATACTTATAATAATATTTCTTTAAATTTAGTAAAACTAGGTTTAAATATTATTTACATTTATAAAATAGTGTAATTTATCCATCGCAAATAATTCCCTCGTCTGTACCTTGAAAATCTTCCGTATCATCTTCAAAGCTTTATGCAATTTTCATCAGTTTGTCGCTGAAAGTTTCCATTTCTGGCGACGTATGATAGATGCGTGTAATAAATTGCAGTATACCTAACCCAGATCCAATCTGTTTGTAGGCGGTAAAACGTGACGGCAGACATGTTTGTTGTTTATGTTTATTACATGAATTTTAGGGAGGAAAAATCGTCGACGGATCGGGTAGATCGTAATGACCTTGAGTTGGATTGAATGTATGTACATAATTCCCGAAATTCACTGTTCTCATAACGGAGATGTTTTATTTTTGTTAAATAGCATTATTATATTAACCATGGCCATCTTTAAAATGATTTTCCTCGTGTTTACCACATTACAGGCATAGTCCAATAATCCGCCATATTTGAAAATCCGGCAGCGCTGAAGTCCCCAAGGCACAGAATTATCGGAATTCTACTGTATTCGGCACATTATTTCGATCGAAATCTCGACGTAAGTTGCATAAAGTCACCGTTATCAACGAGTTATTCTGATAAAATATTTTAACAAATTTTACTCGCTGTTGAATCGTCCAACGATCCATGATTATTTACCCATGTACATAGCTAGGTTATCAATAGGGGGGGGGGGGGGAGACCCTCTCATGCCCCCTAGCTACGCCCATTTTAAATAATTGCTAAAGCAGAACAAAAAACGATGTGTCGGTCCAGAAATGGCGGGATAAACAAATCAGTCAGTTATATACACTGGATTCCGGTTATTTGGGACACATCGGGACTAGTATTTTTTGTCCGAAATAAGCGAAATCGATTGTATTGTCCACTCTGCATAATCGTTAGTGTGAAATAAATAATTTCATTAAATTTAACTTAACTCTGTTATAAACACTCCACGCTTTAGATATAACGGCAGTGTCGATGGTGTCCGCTTTAAAACGGTAACCGGTTTTTGCCGTGCCGATACTCTGTGGGAGTCTTGCATAATTTAATTGGCAATTCTCAGAGTACGGTCGCGGGTCTAATTATGTAAAGAATAAAAAATAAAGATAAACATCCCGTAGTCACCTGCGAACCTTGAACGAGAATTTACGACAAAAGAACTGTTGATATTACGGGCGTATTGGCAGTGGCCTTGATATCAGTCCACGGAAAAGATTTCGACCAATCGTGATGAAGCGTCGATAGTTGGCTATATCGCAAATGTAAATCGATGTAAATCGACGAGATCGACTTTAGTCCCTGGTGGAATAATCTATGTCAACAGCCTCCGTACCATTAACATACCGTTGCGTAATTTTGAAATGATTTTATGTCAACACCCGTTCTGTGATACATTTATATTCTTTAAAAATTGTAGTCGACGTGAAACTAAAGCAATTGACCGCCATTCGATTAATTTATATACACACCAGGGCCGTTCATTACGGAGGTGCAAAATGTGCTCCCGCACCTGAGCGGCCAAACCCAGGGGTGGCCGCGGATCGTTTATTATATGTAACATTTTTCTAAGAAGAATAATAGTCAGAACTTTATTCACGATTACTACAATTTTAGACAAACAGAATTCAATCAAATTAATTTCATATGTAATTTTTTCAACACTACTCGTATACAAGAATGTACTATCTTTATGAATATACAGCCCAAAATAGCATATGATATTTAACCATACTTTTTTCGTTAAATTCGTGTAGGTAATTAATGATCGATATCTATTAACTATAACATCATATAGGTACACAGCGAATAATAATAACAAGAAAAGAAATACAATGTAAAACTTTTAATCTGTGATGTAAGTTACACTCTGTCAAAAGTATGCAAGTGTCTGGATTGTATTTGAATCTGTATTCATTCGTGTTCGCGTATGCTCGTAGCACTGTTCGCACATGTTCAAAAAGTATATACTGTTCAAACAAACCCGTTTGTACGTTATGCCTGCACCCAGCTTGAGGTACTACATATTTTTTAGATAAAATTGTTTCCTAATTGTCAATAGACCAGATTACAAATTGAGTAGAATTAGATTAACACTCACAAGGCATACGTTTTTGATGAACGAATAGACGCTGGTATCTGGGTCCAGATAGACCTCTATTCACTCGTCTTCAGATGTGTTTTGAAATCACTCGCTCGAAAATATGCTTAAAAAATGCTAATCTAAACAATTGTATGTTTCAGTAGCGGTGGACTGAATTTTTTTAAATTCTGGTCCAAGGTGGATCCAGGCGTGACCGTCCGAGGGTTGTAAAAGTAAACTTTACATCAGAAAGAAGTATGAAAACTATGGTTGGGAGCTATTTTGTCCGAAATCGAGAGTCGATCAACGAACGCGCACCTCACAGGTATTTAAAAACACTTTCCTTTCTTGAACACCAAGTCTTAAGAAAATCATTTTTTTAAATGTTCATGTACTTCATTGATATTCCTTATGGACTTCTTTTACCACGTAACATATATTTATTTACTGATAAAATACATCGTGAACAGTAAGATATTGTAGATACTATATTTCTTTGTGATAACTGGTCTGCGAAGTTATGTAAAATTTCATTTAATTTAGAAGATAATTTACAAAAAACGGAATTTAAAGAGAGAATTGTTTTCTCTGATGAGGGGTCCATTGACATGAAAATTTCGTTCAACTTTGTTAAAGCATTATTTTGACTTTCTTTTGTGATTGATTTTTGAAACTGTTACATTGACTGACACTACCTTTGTAATATAAATTGAGAAGTTATGACAAGAATTTGCAATTCAACATATTTTTTTTTAATTTATTATACCTACAGTACACTTATATTTTTTCTATGTATTTTACTTTTAGTACTTGGTATAATATTGTATATCTTTACGATATATTAACCATCTTTGCAAAATATATTCCTTTTCTACTGAATTACTCTCTTTTAAATTCTTTTCTGTATTGTAATAATATAATTAATCTTTTAGATTTTGTTTTTTCTTGCACTTAAACATTATTATTTTTTTTATTACCTAAAATACTCAGTCACTATTTCTTCCTGCTTTAATCTGTTATATTACACTCCTCTATTCTTCTTTTTGTATGTTTTAATTTAATGTATTTTATTTTCATTCTGTGTATTAACTTTCCATAAAGTACATTTCAAGCAGATTGCTTGTTTTAGGTGTTTTGTTTACCTTGTTATAAAAACTCTGCAATACAAAAGCCGTCTGTGAATGTTATAAATTAAACAAAGCAATTTTCTCGAATTTTAACAACCCAAATTCACCTGCGTGACAAAATCCGTGTACAGGGCCATTCAATAAAATTTTGTATTTCACCTATTGAAAACTGCATCCTAAATGCACACCCGGATTGCGTTCAACTAGATATAGTTTAGCAGTCGATATGTGCAGTACATCTATCTGATAATGATTTTTTACATTTTGCATAAAATATGCAAAATATTTCGTTTACAAAAGAAATTCCCACGATAATATTTTCGTGTCAATCATTGCCCATTTCGTCTACATTAGTGAAGCGAAAAAAAAGGTGGTGAAAAAAAGAAAGAATTCGAACGATATTTTTGTAATAATAATAAGAAAAAAACAATTAATTTCCTTTCTGATAGCTGGATTGTATAGTCGATCGAAATACACCGTGGTTTTTTCCAGACAACGAAACATCAGAAGGAAAATCGAATTCATTCTCGGTTAAAATTCATCAAAAAACCACTGATTGTCAGCATATTAATCATAAAAAGAACAGACAAACATTACAGAACACATGCACATTTTCTTTCACGTTTAAATACCTTTTTGATACGAGGAACCCACCAACGGTCCGGAGGAATTGTTCAGGACCATTTCATTGGTTTCCCTATCGAAACACGATCACCACGTTTATGTCACCTTTACCATGATTCACAATGTATTTATAACACCTGTGTCTCTGCGTTATGTATCGTTATAGTGAATCGATAAACACGTTAAACGCAAGACCGCAGGAGCAAGTGAACAGACACAAATCACCAGCGAAAACTGACATCTCCGCCGAATGTTCTTACGATATATTCACTGACAAGAGAAGTTCACTATTCGAACGTTTTAACGTGTCACACGTCTACATTAGGCACTATCTAAATTTTTCCTCGGCCCTATTTTAACAATTCATACGATTGACTTTTACACCAAAACAGAAAAAAGATATGTTTCGTCGGTAGGATTCAGCTAGGGTCCCTTTACTTCGCGACGGTGTCTGTGGACCGTGTTAACATTCATAGAAACCGGGGACGCGCGCGCGCGCGTTCCACGAGCCGTCTTTGATAATTTGAAAATATTTTCTACAGGTATTTTCGAAAAAGTGAAAAAGGGTTACGTCGTTGGACGTCCGTGGTCGAACGAAAGTACAACAGCAACCGCGAGTTTCCTTTCGGCCGGGCTCGGTGCTCCTCGTCTTCGTTCGTTCTCCCTTAGTTCCACTTCTCCCGATATGGTCGATAACAGGGAGAGTGCGTACTGCATCCTCTCATGCTCGATTTCTGCGAATTTTAAGTGTACGCGAGTGGAACAAATAACCCAGTCGAATTTAGCACTTTCTTTCGAAATGTACAGTAGGTCGTGATAGAGAGACGCTTAGCCGAGCATGAAACGGTTTTATCGACATATGTA